AAATGTTCAAGGTGAACCACTGAGCTTGTGTTTAACTCCTGAACTCAAGGTAAAGCAACAAAGCCAAATCAAGACAAAAATCTCCTTTAAAAAAAAAAAAAAATTCTCTTGTGGCTTCAATGGAAGCAGGATCACACTCAGCTCTTCAACAGCCCAGTTATTAAAAAATAATAATGAAAATATATATTCCACAGTCAACTGCCCCCATATTGACTGATGTGAAGTGTTCCCTGCTCCTGTTCAATCTACAAACACTAAATAATCAATAACTCAAAGTTCTTCCACTTTACTGACTCCATTAAGAAAAATAAATAAATCTGTAGCAGATTTGTGACCATAAAGAATTGAACATTTAGTTTTGCAGCTAAGATAACTCTGACACAAAAATAAAGATATAAAGAAAAAAAATCCCCAAACCCCACTGCTTTGGGCTGTGCCACCATGCAGCATTTGTGAAAATTGCAGCTCTCAAAGAATAGGCAAAAAAAAAAAAAAAAAAAAAATCCAATACCCAGCTTCCAGAGCTGGGTAAAAAGAGAATTAAATAAATAAACATATAGGCTTAAGGTCTGTTTGTTGCATAATTTTTTTTACAGTATTTAAACAAGACAAAACCCCAACTTCGTGCAGAATGAGCTATGGTGACTTAGCAGATTGTGGAGTGAAATTTGTGTGAATATCCCACAGAGCCAAAGCTGGATTCTGCCACTGGAGGAAGAAGAGATGAACCACAACCAAACCCATTCGGTGCTCAGCTCCCCTTGCTCTTTTTCCCCCCAAGTCCAGAAAAGCTGAGCTTAAATCTTGCCAGGAGAGGAGGTGATGCTGGTCCCAGAGGGAGAGCCCCATCCCCTGGCCTTGGGCCAGCTGTCCCCAAACTCTCCTGGCCCACACCTGGAGGAAGCTTGGCCACCAGAGCAGGGCAGGAAGAAGCCAATTCTGCCCAAAAATCTCGACAGAATCTGGATTCAACAAAGATTCCTGGTCTCTCAAGCCCTCCTGATCATGGAAGCCAAAAGGAGAAAGATCCTCTCCATTGGAATTTGGGTTCCTTCCTTCTGGAAACTCCCTTTTCCTCCTTTATATCCCTGAAAAAAAAAGGGCTGCAGATCAAAGATAATCCCAGGAAGTTGTGCTTTGTGGTCACCTCTGGAAAAGTGCCCAGGAAAGCCATAAAAACCTGGGGTATCCCCACACTTCTCTGAAAACAGAAATCCCTCAACAAAGCCTCTCACTCACACAATCCCCACCTTAAACCATTCATTTCCTCCCAGAATAAATAGCCAGGAACGACCATAAGAGACTTATTGTGAATTAGAACAGCAGTTCTGACTAAGGCAAATAATTTCCAAATTTCACACACCCAGGTGCAGACAAAAAAATATTGTTAGGGGTGGTAAATTGCAGCAGCAAAGAGAAATATTCAGTTTGGAAAGGATAAAATCCAATAGCAGAAGTTTGGGAATTAAATGTCACCCACTCCTGAAAAGGCCACAGCAAGACAAGCACCACAAACTTAAATAACCTCTCTGCATGCTGCTCTAATGGAAATAACAATTAATACCAATTTCTGAGTTTTAGTTTCTAGAAATGGCATCAGAGCAACTTAACTGCCAGAGGGGCCCTGTGGATACAGAAAAACAGAGATACAAAACCTATAACCAGAAAAAAGGAAAAATAAAGAATTCTTCCCCTGCTGCTGGTCTTTCCTTCTGGGAATTAATAACATGGAGTCACCAAAACCTGCAGTTATTTACACAGAATACAGAAATAATTGCAATTCTTAAGTCTATGTTGTAGTGGACTAACAATTTGGGATTTTAAAACGTTAGAGATTCACTACCAGCTGTCAAAAAACACCCTGATAATAATCCTGACTCAAGAAGGGACGAATGAGTATTCCATTTATTTAAACTGGAGCAATCCAGTGTCCCTGCTACCAGGACTGGCTGCAATTCTGACACCTTCATCTCACCCCAAAAATGTAACAAGTATAAATAAATCAACACAGGGAAAAAACCCCAAAAAATTACATCTCAAGTAAGACGAGTGGAGGGGTGGAAGTGAGGGAAAAAAGGAATAAACTGAATTTTACTTGATTGCTTCTCAAAATTGGAGGGAAAGGGGGGGATATTTTTTTTTTCCTCTCTCTCTAAAAATCAAAGCTAGCTCCAAACCAAACCCACCTCTTTAGCTTCAGTGTGACCCAAAACCTCAGTTCTGCTTTCCCTGAAGTCACTAAAACATGAATACAATCAGTCCCTGAAGCCACAAGCATTATATTCGTGCTTATTCACACCAAAAATCCAGTGCAAGTCTTGCAGAATTTGTACCTTGCTGCCAAATTAAAACACGAGGCAGCAAAAATTATGGTCAGACTGACAGAGCTGCTGCAACTCCAGGTGGTATTTTACAAAAAAAAAAAAAAAAAAAAAAAAAAAAAAAAAAAAAAAAAGCGTTGTTTTTCCTTCAAATGCAAAAGGATTTGTAAAAAACCAACAGAAGTGGAGCGTTCTGAAATTAAGAACTGAAGTCAAAACTCATTCTAGGTCTGATGGTGTCAATAACCAACTGATTTAAAGAAAGGGGCACTTAAAAAAAAAAAAAAAAGTTTTCTTGTTTAAAGACCTGGAATTTTTGTGAAGAAAACAGAGCAAGGCAAAAGTGAAACAGGAGCATTTGCAGGGCATGACAAGGAGCACCTGACCCGGGCACATGATCCAGGGGGACATTCCAGAGCCACGGAGCTCCTTAAAGAACCCAAACCTGGATGGTCCTGTGTGTGCAATTAACGTAATTAACAGCATACTCTGATTGCAGTCACATGCAGCCACGTGTAACCCCTTAAAAATGTATTTTCAAACTGAAATTGGAACCAGAAGTGACCACACAGCTTTTTAACACTCTGGAAAAAGTGAGACTGTTAAAGGCACATTAACTATGAACTAATTAAGATCAATTAATTAACACATCAGCAGTACAATAAGAAACAATTATACCCTAAACATTCACCACTACAAAACAACCCTGGTTCTGTAAACAGAAAAAAACAAAAACAAAAACAAGATCCAGACTCTCAACTTCTGATTTCCTGTCAGCACAGCAATGGTAAATTAATTTTAATTTGGGTAATTAAACCCCCAAATCACCCATGAGTTGAAATACTGCAAACTCCACTTTTAAGCTGTGGAGCACAATCAGTTTGACAAATGCAGATTGAACCTTCTTAAATTAGTTTGTGCAAATAAATTGCATGTACACACAGAGAAAACACTCACACTAAAATAACTCTGGTACCTGTTTTTTAGGCTAAGGCTGAAAATAATTTTTTAAGTGGAATTCACTTTCTTTAGGGTAAAAAAAAAATGTAATTTTGCTCTACTAAGAATCTGATTTCTATCTACTTTTGCTGTTAAACTTTACTCAGGGGATTACAATGAGGCCTGGGTCAATTTTAGCTACAAACTTCCACAACTCAATAGAGTTTAGGATGGAACTACTGAGACAAAAATCTGCTCTAGAAACATCCACAGATCCAGAACTACACAGCTGAGTTTGGAACACTTCTGCAAGTACAAATATATATGGGAACAGTTCTACAATTACCCACAAAAATGTCAAACTCCACACTGAACACCACGGGACATAAAAATCTTCATTTTTGTCCTTCAGATTTTGTTTCTATCTCCAACTTAATTCACTTTTAGCCCAAGAACTGCTCTCCAAAGCTGTTCATTAATATCCTGATACTCAAGAACCTTAATTATTAGTACATGTTAGGAGACTGTGTAACAGGAAGTTAAAGCATTAAAATATTCCTAAATGCCTTAAGATCACACCTTGAATTAATTATTCTTTACTAATTTTCACCCTGAACAACCACACTCTGATTGTCTAAGCCACACAATGGGGACTAATTAACAGCAATTAAATATATTAAACCTTCCACACCAAAAAAAAAAATAATCAGTGAAACAGCTTTGGTAACCTAGTACATAGTTAGCTTTGTGTAAATATTTTGCAAACATCCCTTTCCCAAAAAAATGCCTATATACCACGTGTATATTGATATAATAATATACAGAATTCCTGAGTAAATCATTAAATCTGATTATTCGGAAGATTTGGCAAAATATTTAACTCTGTATTACTAAAATAGATTTTTAAATAAACATTCAATGAAGACATGAAAATAAATATGGAATGTGTCTGAAAAAATTATAGTACCATGAACATGTATTAATACAACAAGTAATCGTTTTTTTTTTTAATTGAGTGCATACTATGTTATATTGTTACTGGTTTTAAACCCACTGAGGAATCAATAAATCTAATTTCTAATCCTGAGTGAGTTATCTATCACCTGCTAACGTGCACTTCCATGCACCTCACGCTGCAAAGCTACAAAATCCACTTTTTTTTTTTTTTAAGTGGAAAAACCAAACAATTCTATGGAAAAAGCTCAGTTTTGCTGGAAACTGAACTGGCAGCACAACTGCAGAAGCCTCTCACACAACCAGCACTGAACACTGATGATTTCTGCCAAACAGAGAGAACCTGCCACAAAAAACAGCACCAACAGCAGCTCCTGGCACAGTGATGGGGTGCAAACTACTCAGTGATCACTTTGGCTCTGAAAACAACTATACACGGTGCAAAAAATAAAAATAAAACAAACCCTGAACCGTTATTGAGTACCTTGAAATAGGCTAAATTGTCTCATTAACCAAAAAAAAAAAAAAAAGAGAATTAATTTCTAGCACACTCTGGTTGCTCAGAGCTGTGGGTCAGCACAGGAGGAAATGCTCAGCTCTTGTTCAGCTCCTCTGGCCATGGAAATTCTCAGCAGCAATATTAAAACTGCAAAACCACCACCAGCAGCTGCATCCCTGCACACCAGAATCACAGCACCACAACTCCATCACCAACCAGGCACCTCAGTGAACCCTTCCTGCATCCTGGCATCCTCTGAAATCCACCTGAGGATTTTCAGGACCTGAGCCCTTCCCTCCCCATCCTCAGCTTTCCTTTTATTATTCCAAAATCTTCGTGGCTTCCTCAGCTTCTTCACTTCCTCTGCTTTCCTGCTCCACACTGCTTTTCTCCTGGCTGCTTGTGCTTGAAGAACAAAGCTCCTGCAGGGGCCCTTGGAGGGGAAGTTGCTGATTTTGGGGTGCAGCTGGAGGGGATTTTGGCAGAGCCGCCTGCAGCGCGCACCAGAGCGCAGTGCGAGCCCTGCGTGTGGCACCAGCCAGGGCTCCCAGGGCAGCTGCCAGGGCCAGCACACCTGCAACAGGAAAAAAACGTCAGTGGACAAGCCTGGAAACGTTATTAGTTTTATTTATTTTTATTTTTTTTTTTTTAGAATTGCATAAATTTGTTTAACTCGCAGCCTTGAGCGAACTGCGCACCGGTAACGACAGCTACAACATTTCCCGTGAATTGTCTGTGCCAAAAAGGGTCCAAAAAAAGCTGCCCAAAAGGGTCCAAAAAAAGCTGCCCAAAAGGGTCCAAAAAAAGCTGGTGGACACTGGGCAAACTGCTCTGCTGAGGCTGCAGGCAGTTTTTTGATTTTGCAGGAAGAAGGGAACGCTGATTTTTGGGTGGGTGAGTAAAAGCACGAAGATCTGGTCAAACACAGATATGAAATCTTGGGGATTTGTTTGCAACTGTGAATCCTGCAAGGCCAGGGATTGCAAACCTGCACCTTTGCAGCCAAAGCTGCTAATATTGCAACCTTTCAGACAGGGATTGCTGATGAAATCTGGGATTAAGTGGACCAAGCTGCTCCTACACTTCTCTGGGAAGTCAGGAAGGGAGGGGGGGGTCTCACCAAAACGTGGGACTCAACAGGAGGGACCAGGGCCTGATGATGCCATAGTTCATTGTAACAGATGACAGAGCTGTTATTTTTAGTATTGGCAGTATTTAGATGCTGTATTGGCATTAAATTTAATCATAACCATCCACTTATCCACTGTGACCTACTTCTCCTGCCTGGCCAACAACTTTCCTCCTACTATTCCTGACTCACACTTGGAGTTAAAGTCACGTGAAAGTTTTAGGAGTCATTTTAAAAGTCAGTTTGCATATAGGACAATTGCTCTAAGGGCATGACATTTTACATTCATTTTAGATTTTAATTTTTGACCTCTGAATTGCAAAAGCAAAACATTTTGATTCTCTTTCCCTCAGCCAAGGAACTTCACTGTCCACTTCAGCAGCAAGGAGTGAATTTGTTCTGAGACACAGGTATTTGCTGAAGAAAATTAGTATTATCTTTAACCCCAAACCATAAATTGCCACATTTACTGCTGCTACAGGTTATTCTGGCTTTAATTCAACAGAATTTAGGAAATGGCATTCCTGGCGAGTTTGTGATTTAGGTAAGGTAGACAGATAACTGATTTGCACAACACTGGCAAGTTTTTGATTATTTTATAAGCTGAAGAGAAAGTTTAGCCATACCAAGAAATAATTCTACTTGTTTAAAAACAAGCACATTTTTGCTTTCAGGACAACCACTTATGGTTATATAATGTCACTGAGGAGTTTTTACAGTCATCTTCTGGTCAAGAGGAAAAAAATGTCAAAGTTTTTAAACCAGTAACACGAAAACAAAAATAACCAATAGAACTCAAAGTAACTTAAAGTGTTTAAAAGTAACAAAAGTATTTGCAAGTTCTCTTTTGCTGAAGTGACGAGAATTGCCACGCATTGCAAATTTACATTTTTAAGCGGAACTTACTCACAATGAAATCCCTGGAAAAGCTTTGAGGGCTCCAGGGATGGGCAGCATTACCTTTCTCGTTGTTACAGCGTGGCCCCCCGTGACTCTGGGGATTTGCAGCATTCCCAATCTCCTCCTTCCGACGTGCCTGGGTCACCTGAATGGCTTCCAGGTGAAGCTCCAAGGTCCTGGAGATGTTCCTGTGCACGGGAGCGCCACAAAGCCTCTCCATTCCTCCTATCAGTGCCAGCACCTGGCAGGAAAACACCAAAACCACCGAGCAGTGCTTAATAAACAGACAAATGGTGAAGGAGGTGCAGGAGTTGCAGGTGCAGCAGACCCACCCTGGCTCGCTGCCGGCACTGCTCCACGATCAGGCGATCCACGCGGGATGGGCTGGCTGGGAGCCTGGCCACGGGGCTGCAACTGGACATGGACATGGAGATGTGCTGCCCTGGGAAGTGCCTTGCAAGGTCAGCCTCAGCCTGAGAGGGAAATCATCTGTCAGTGTGGTGGTTTGGAATCAGTGCAATGTCATCAGGCAGTTGTTGGTGCTGTTTGGGATTTTTGAGGTGCGTTAGGAGTGAGCGCCCCTGAGTGCACTGACAGAAAAACATCCCCAAATATCACAATCCCAGAACGGGTTGGAAGGGATCTTAAAGCTCATTTTATTCCACCCCCTGCCATGGGTAGGGACACCTCCCACTATCCCAGACTGCTCCAAGCCCCATCCAACCTGGCCTGGGACACTTCCAGGGGCAGCCACAGCTGCTCTGGGCACCCTGTGCCAGAGCCTCCCCACCCTCCCAGCAAAACTTTCGTCCCAAATCTAATCTAACCCTGCCCTCTCTTGGTTTAAAGTCATTCCCCTTCACCTATCACTACAAGCCCTTGTCAAAAGTCCCTCTCCAGCTTCTTTGCAGGAATATTTCTCTAATTCAGCTCTCCCTCAGACTTCAACACCTCTCACTGATTCTCTCAAGTGTCACATATTATAATTATTAAAAAAAGAACCAGGTGATAGCAGCAGCCTAAATTGCATCTCAAGTGCAGCAGGATGAAACCACATTTAACATAGAAAAAAAAAAAAAGAAAAAGAAAAAGATATCAGTTTAACAGATAACAGTTAAAGGTAAAATCTTTAACACAACAGCCAAACTTCCACTGAGAAAGTGGCTTAGCCAGTGCCTGACACAGACACTGACTAAATATCACCAAACCTATTTTTGGATAGGAAATTCTTACACATGGAGTAAAAGAGACACAGCCAGCAGGAGATTCCTTATCTCATTCCTTCTCCAGGGTACCATGGAGGTAGGAAAAGAGGGGTCAGGTGCTGCACTGCAGTTCAAGGCAAGGCTAAGTCCACATTCACACTGTGGATATTTGTACTGGAACTTTGTGATGGAATCCTTCTCTTTTTTGCTTTACTTCTACATTATTTAGTCCCTGCCCTGGCCTAAAATGGATTACAAGAGCTGACTCCACCTTTACTCATCATCTGAGGAGGCTGAAAAGCATCCAGAAAAGAAAAAAAAAAAAAAAAAAAAAAAGGAGAAAGGGCCACGGATTCATATAATGACCAGGTAATTAAGAATTACAGTTAATAAGCAATTAACTAAACTACATACACATTTAATATTGCAGACAATTCCTAACTTGTGTAAATGCTTTAAATGTGGGGTTTGTGAAAGGAGACAGGACAGCTGTGACCCCAAAGCAGCTGCAATGAGCAGGTTCCAGAGAGCTGAAAGGGCTGAGTGATCAGACAAAGCAGAGAGAATTAAATTAAATCCCAGGGGGAGTTTCTCTCCTCTTGCAGTCATCCCCTCCTGAGGAATGTGGTTTGGCTGCAGGAATGGGAGCCAGGCTATGGCTTGGAGGACTGAGAACAATTTATATCCTTTAACCACAAAACACCCAGAGAAACCCACAGCAGCTCACTGGGGTAAAACTGGGTCACTTGGCATGCACCAGATCAAAGGGTCAATTAACCCTTTTGATTAATAAATATGAGGTATGAGGATAAGCAACTCTCCTTTAATGGTGAAATAAAAAGCAGGAGATAAAAAAATATGACTTGGTCTTTGCAAATGACTTAATTGTCCCAAATCCTGCCTGAGAACAGGAAACAAACACTGGAGCAAGAATTCATCCCTTTCTCACTTCCAGAGAATTCCTGGAAAGTCAGGCAGAGAAGAGTCTTGTTTAAAGGCATGCATGAAAGAATAACACAGGCACTTCCATTCACAATTCCTAAAATCCATTAGGAAGGCCCCACAGCTGATGATGGAGAAAAAAAAAAAAAAAAAGATGTTTTCCAGGTCTAGTTTGCTCAGACATCTTCACCCAATGACCAGGAGGCTTCTCACATGTGGAGCACAGCCAAGCACTCAATGCAAAATTAGAACCAGGGGTTATGGACAATTTATTTTGTGAGACTTGGCATGGAATTCAGGGATTTGATTCCTCTTGGGAAAGCCCTTCCTGCTTCTTTAGAGCACAGAGCTTTCATTCCCAAGTGCAATACCCTCATTATCAGCGTGGTCCTTCCCTGCCAACAGTTCTGGGAATGAGCCTGAGACAGGAAAGTGACCGTAATGAGAAGAGCATAAACTGAAATTTCCTTTGGGAGCAAGAAAAAAATGTCGTAGGTTTTCTCTACAGACACGCAGAGGGTGCCCAGGATTAGTTACTTCGTTTTCTTTTTTCCTATAGCCAGAGGTTTACTACAACAAGGAAAAAAAAAAAAAAGAGAAAGCTGTGACTGCATCACTGATAGTAAAAACTCAAACCAAACCACCAAAAAAAAAAAAAACCACCAAAAAAAAAAAAATAATCCCCCAAAAACCACCAAAAAAAGAAGACAAAATACTCCCAACAAGCAAACACCATAAAAGTTTCTCTCTTAAAAGCAGTCCAGTGCTTATCAGGAATGATCACCAATTGTGTTTTACCTTCTTCCTCTCCTTCTCCAAAGCTCTCCACTGCTCGTGGCACTCCTCCAGGCGGCTGTGGAGCTCGTTGGCAGGGCCACTGCGGCTCCTGGGAGCCCTGCACTTGTTCAGTGGGGCTGGGAAGGCAAAGCAGGGGCCAGGGATCTCCCCAGGGAACAGATCACTGATGAAGGGATTTAGGGGCTTGAGGTCATCACAGTGCAAAAGATCAACAAGGTCCGAGAATGGAAACGGTGGTGGAGGGAAATTCAAATTGTTTGCTGATGAAAACAGCTGGTGATTAAAGGGAGGGAAGTTGGGATTTTGCTTGAAATCAGACACGAATGGGAAAGAAGGAAGCAGAGAAGGGTTGATGAAATCTGACAAGCTGCCAGCACTCTGCTCGTGCTTTTTGGGAAACACACCGAAGGGCTGGTGGTTCGGGGCTGCACGCCCCAGGTGAGGGATCCAATTCCTTCTACCTCTTCTGTCATCTTTATTGCCGCTTTCCTGGCTCTGCCTTTTTGGGAACCTGTGGTATTTCACAGCAGGGTTTTCACCTGCAGCTCTCTGCTGCACGCCCCAGCCAGGTGAAAAACCAGCGGGGAATTGGCGGCGCCGCCCGTCCTTGCTCATCCCCGCATCCTCCTGCGACCTCCCGACAGCTCCCAACTGCTTCTGCCTCTCCGACATGAAATGAGGAACCCCCAAATGACTGCAAACTCCATTTGATGTCTGTGATTTCCCATCTTTCCCGGGAGGGAGGAGCTGGGAGTAGAAGGAGGGCTGTGGGAAAGGCTGGTGGGTGGGAGAGCCCCCAGACATGGTGGAGACCCCTGATGAGGACTGGGGGCTCGTTGCCATTTGTTTGCCATATGGAATTTCAGATGCAGCTGCCAGGCTCTTCCCATCCAGCCACGCACAGCCCTGGTAGGAGGAATAACTCCCATTTTGCACAGCATTTTTCACAGATAAATCATATTCAGATACTTGAGGAGAGCTTTCCTTAGGGCCCACATTCACTTTACACTCATTATTATTACTATTATTAAAAGCATCTCCCAAAGCAAAGCCACGATGGCCATTTTGCACATGGCATTCCTGGGGTTTTCTGCCCCTTCCTCCAACAAAATGATTTTCCTTAGGGGGTTGATTGAAAAAATGAAGTGATGGATGGACAGGTGACTCCAGTTTGTGAGCAGCTGTGAAGTTTTCGTATCTTTTAGAGAACAAGTGGCTGTCCTGGGCTACTTTATCCCAGCAGTTATCACCAGGCTGATTGGAAAGATCAGGAGAATACTTAGTTTGTCCTTGAGCATAATTTTTCAGAGCTTTTCCTCTTGTTTTTTCACTTTTCCACAACTCCTTCTGGACACTGGGGCTTTCTTTCATCCTGTTCCGAGGACAAAAAGGGCTCAAACTGGATCCACACTTTTCATTTAACCTGCCATGGTCATAAGTGCACAAATGCTGGTTCCAGCTCCCGTTTGGGAAGGAAAACCCTTCCTGGGGAGCCGTGGTGCTGCTCTGCAGAGAGGAATTTTCAGGGTGAGCATTGCTGGGCTGAGCACGGGGTGAGAGCCAAGACTCGAGGAGCTGAAGGTTTCCCAATCCTCTGTGCAGCATCTCCACATCAGGAGGCTCCTGCAGGGGTTCCTGCTGGCAGCTGGTGCCCAGCAAATTGGGAAAATCCTTGTTGTGGACACAGTGCTGAGCTGGGAGCCCTGGCAGCTCCCCATTGCTGCCCAGATCAGGTGCCCACATAGGGGGGAACAATCTTGATAGAGAATTCCTGGAAGAGAGTTCAACAAACATCCCATCAGGATTGAAAACCTTTCTTACTTTAAAATTAATTCACACACCATGGTTATTCCCCAGTGTTGAATTATTGACCAAGCATTCACAGCTCTCCTGAAAAATAGGAGGAAAATTCCCACTGCAGCTGAGCAAATGCTCTGTGAAATCTCATCACCCACACTGTTTATTCTGCACGTTCAGAAATGCAGAGTTTATTTGGATTTATTAAATCTCTCAGATTCCTCCTCCCTACTGCTTAGAAGTAATTATCATCTTTTTTTTCCCCTCTTCAAATGCTGTAAAGCTGATGGAAAACTTTAAAAATAATTTGCATTTTTAACAGTTCAGTTTTTTGTTTGCTTTTTTTTTACTAGCAAATGAAGTAAAGACACTTCCACATTTTAAGGGGATTTAAAAGGCCATCATTGCTCAACTCTGAAATAATTAAAAATGTGTATCATATCTGTGTGACAACAGGCATAAAAACCAGCACACAAATGATAAGAGCTCTCAGAACAAACTCACCAATCTGTAGCTGGGTCTGGCTTGTTTGGCTCCTCTAAAATGCTCGACACCAACCCAAACATATCAGGGCCATTGCTGGAGTAAGAAAGATTTATTGGTGTCCTGAAAAAAAAGGAAAAAAGTCAAAGTTTAAAGTATTTTTCTCCTATACAGAACAGGCAAAAAGATGATCAAACCTTTATTTTAGCAGCATTTTCTAGTTGCTCTGAATTTAATGCATCCTCAGCATCCCTCTACAGAAATCTCACCCTGCATTTGTGAATTCTGTAGCCTAAGTGAAGTAGAATTATTTTCCTTTTTGTTTCACCAGAGACTTTCCAAGCAGAATAAATTTTCCTTTCTTTCCAAGAAACAAAACTGTTTCATGTGGACATTCCTTCAAACCTTCACTGTCTCGTTTAGAGCATAAATAGGATCAATATTCCCAAAGAGCATTCCCTCTTTTATCTACTGCCAATTAATTCAAAGCCTATTATGTCAATCTCAAAAAATAATTTATATGTAAGTCACAGATACTTAAGCTGAGCCACTTTTTAATCCCCTTTTTGACAGGTCAAAATTTTAGCAAAATATTTCTGGTAAACACTCAAGGTTTTCAACAATTTTTAAACAAACCCAACTTTTATTTCAGGTGCAAGATTAGATTTTCACAGAGTTGTTTGCAATGACTCCTGACTCTTCCCCACAAGTTAATTAAAACTGTGCTATTAAAGATCTCCTTCCCTCTATCCTCGTTGTTTTGCTCCAATAAACTTCCCTCCCCACCTTGTTCTGACTCCTTTCAGTGTCCCTGAGGATTTCTGAGTTTTCCCTGGTGCCACATAATTGCTCACTGACTTTGCTGATGAACAGAGACCATAAAATGTGGGACAAACTCTTATAAAAATCACCTTTTTAATCCCTTGCCACTGTCAAAGTTACACCCTGCTGGTTTTTAAGACCTCACCAGAGTTTCCCTCCTACCTCAGTCCCTGATTGACTCCATGACTGCTCATGATCTCTAAGGGATCTGGATTTAATTTAGGATGCACAAAAGAGCAAAGACTCTTGAAAATGTTTTGTGAATGCAGAACTGATATTTGATAATCAGATCTTTTCTGTCTCTTGGTCAATAGCAAAGTTTTTTCTTTTCCTATTTTTTTAAAGGAGCCCTCAAGGAATTCTGAATATCTGAAGGCTCAGGATGGGTGTAAACATGGATTAACTCTAATTCCTTAACTTTTTTGTTTTTAAAGCTACCTTGCAATAATCTAAAGGTTATTTTAAGAAAATACTGTGTATTTCAATTAGCAAATTGCCACTCCTTGCTTACAATTGACTCTTACAGCTGACACCAAAGCTGTGTGATCCTTTATTCAAAAATAAACATCACTCTGACACTTCCCACTGAAAACCAGCAAAAAAAGAATGAAGGTTTTTTGCAATCCATGTATCTTCCTTAACTGTTACCTTTCAGCACCTTGTGAGCCAGTGGACTTCACTTTCTGCCCACCTCAGCTTTGTCTTTCTTGTTAAGCAAATGATTAAAAAAAAAAAAATGAAGTGAGGTTTTAGAAATGCTCATTAAAAGAGCATTTTCTCATCAAAAGCTGCTGTCTCTATCACCCAATTCCCTCCAAAACAGGCAATATTCTGTCACCATCACCTGGCTTGAAGATGAAAAAACGAAAAAAACCCCAAACCTTTTTTTTTTCACAACAAAGAGCAAAGAAAATCTGCCGAGTTTCCAGAGATGCCAGAAACTCTCCCCCCAAAAAATCCAGAATCTCCATTTGTTCTTCAACACAAGAATTCCAGTGACCCAGAATCCCTAAGGCCACAGCAGGAATGCTGATACCTTTTTTTTGGGCACTCCTGGAAGGCAGTTTGGGATCCAAAATCCTCAGCACATCCTGGCCAGTCACTGCACAGCTGGGAGGGCTCTGGAGGCAAGGGGGGACTGGGGACTGCTCCCAGTAATGGGGAGAAGAACTGAGTGTCCATGGTTTGCTTCCTGCTATTTACCTGCATTGAATAGAGAAAAAAAAATAATATTAGATGTTCATCTAGAGAACAGTAAAGGCAGCAAAGCTTTGCTTTTATTTCCTGAACTAAAAGAAGTTTTCATTTATTTCATTTTCACAGCAATGTGCCATATAGCCACAACAAAAGGATTAAATCTAAATCACATCCCCTCCCTTGCCTTAAATTAACCCGAATCTGTCTTCTAAAAAGAAATATGCAAGTAACAGAATTGACTTACTGCACAGTCATAGGAATTCTCCACAGGTTTCACATTTTAGGTGTTGGCACGTTCAGAGCTCAGAACCTCCTGCTCTCTGAGACTGGGAATGCACCTGTCCCAGGAAAACACATCCCCTCTGGAAAACAAAAGCCATCACCCCCTGTTACACCTCCAGAAAAACAAAATATTCCAGTGAAGAGCCCGTGGGAAGAAGGGAGGGACATCTGGAAACTCCACGGAGCAAAACGTGGGTAAGAAAAGTAATCCAAGTATTGCTGCAGAAAGGAATATTACAAATAAGATATTTAGTCATTATTTATATTATTTATTTATTATTTATGCCAAGAAAGACTGGAGCAGATACTTGAGGCCTCTTCCAACCTGGAATTCTCTGAATTTAATTTATCTTCCTTATTATTAATCCCTGGCCTAGTGAAAGCTGTCACAGACTCAGATCTCCCTTCCTGGGTATTTTCTGAAAAGATGGGACAGAAATATTTTCTGGTCAGGTGTGTTCCTATCAAGAGCAAGACAGAACAACCCTGCAGTGAATGTTTTTAAATTAAATAAAAAAATAAGTTTACACTGATAGTTTATCACTGGCTATAAACTGATTTTGCACATCAAAACCACTCCCTATTAAGTAACAGGGACCCCGTGGGGGCCACACAAACACCCTGTAAAATTCCATATAAACCCTGTCAGTATTGGTGCCATGAAATGAGGCACAAGGAGAGCTCACACAGGTCCATTCTGACCCTCACTTTCTGCTCCAAAGGACTCCTGAACAAACACAGGCATCCCTTAGGATCCAGCCAGGCCAAAATTCCACAAGGATTTAGGTCCTGACTGGGCTACCAGGGAGCAGCAGACACAGAAATTCCTGCTCCTTGGCCAGAGGATAAAATACTTGTGCACAGATTAAAAATAGGATCTGTAACAAACGGATTGATGGTTTATTTTCAGAGCCATTAATCACTGCTGATGTGAGCTGTGCAGGACAATGTGGCTAAAGCCCAGGAGAAAAGGGACTTCATGTACCCTAGATAAGGCTCAGTGCTTCCAAAACACTGGAGCTTGTCCTTCCACCCAGTCAAACACAAATTCTCCTCTGGGGTTTACATAGGAACTACTAACAAATTGCAGGGGGAAAAAAAAAATAAAGGATGGAATCACTCAGAATCTTAAAGTTCAAAATGAATTAAATGCTGCATTTAAAATAAAGGAGGGAAAAAAACCCCCAATTTATAACTCCTACAGTCTTCAGGAGGGCTTTTACTTTATTCCCATGCAAATCCTGGGAAAGCCACTGGTCTTAATAAATTACCTTCAGAAACAACAATAAAAAATGCATCTAAAGGCCTGACAGGTCATTTTGACTAATTTTTTCATTCAAACAGTGAAGGAGCAGACAAAAAATTTGGAAATAGTGAATGGTTTTGGTAAAAGCCTCAAGCAGTTCTTTGCACTTAGATTCTCTTCCAAAGTTTCTTTTGAGGAGAAACACACAACTTCACCAGTAAAATGATAGTATTTCATGTATTAATATATACTAAATGAAATAGCATCAAAGCTATTAGACATTGATATTGTTGTGACATAGAAGGAGAGATTTAGATCAGATATTAAGGGAAGAATTTCCCTGTCAGGGTGGGGAGGCCCTGGCACAGATTCCAGGAGAAGCTGTGGCTGTCACATCCCTGGAAGTGTCCAAGCAACCTGGGATAGTGGAAGGGGTGGAAAAGATCATTTTTAAGGTCCCTTCCAAACCAAAAATATTCTAGGATTTTGTGATCTGTAAGATTTGAAAGATGTATCCAGGACATTTTCCACACGGAGGCTTCTGCCTGCCCAAGATGAGCAGCTGGAAACAGAGAGCTGCACCTTGGGAAAATCCTCTCCCTGCCAGGATCCCCCAGCACTGGGGACACAGCACGACACTCCCACGTTATTCCTCATTACTGGAAGTGTTTTGTTCCCTGTGTTTTCCAGCAAAGCACTGGAAGCAGTTCAAGACTTGGTGCTGTTATTCTGAAATGTCAGGAGCTGCTGGCACAGCACCCCAGGCAGCCTGGAAGGAGTTTTAGGAATTTTCACGGAGAATCCTAAATTATTCCAGGATTATGAACATTTAGGGGATTAAAACAGAATGATTTGGGTTTGGGGAAAGGATCTGCAACTTCCACCATCCCAGGCTGCTCCAAGCTTCATCCAACCTGGCCTTGGACACTTCCAGGGATCCAGGGGCAGCCACAGCTTCTCTGGGAATCTGTGCCACGGCCTCCCCACCCTTTAGGAAGGATTTCTTCCTCTTTAGAGGTGAGAAGAGCTGCTGGCTCATATCAGATTAAGAGTACTCTGAAAAGACATTTTATAAACTGAAAAATAACAATCGCAGCTAAATATTGCTTCACTCTACGATCAGAACAAACTGCTTTCACTGAAAAAGTCCCCACCTGACAGAGTTCTTGATTTTCCAAAAAAAGCATTAAAATTCACCAAAAAGCCTTTTTACAGCCAGTTATCCTAAAGCTGCAGGGTTTCCCTGCTCCAGAGCACTGCAGGAACATCCCTGATAGCAACAGTAAACAACAGCACTGCAGCATTATCACATCCACACTGAGGGGATCCCACTCTGGTTTCTCAGCAGGATAAACATTTCCTGTTTATTTCTTGGGTTTTGTTTCTTGGCAGGATAAAGTAAACACCAAAAAAAAAGCATTGTTTTGGGGTTTTTAAAGATGTTTAATAACTCCTGCCTATGGATATCTTAATCTGGAGCACACTGGGACTGACTGATTCATTCAAGGTGCACTGCCTGGGATTCTCTGAAACCACTGGGTAAAAAAATAAAAGTTATAAAAAAAGAAAAACAAACAAATCTCTAAATTGCTTTTTTGGGTTTCTCAGGAAATGAACCAGCAGATGTAAACAGGCAACAAGGAGATGTAAAAAAAAAAAAAAAAAAAATAATTCAGGGGAGAAAATATTAATGAAATACAGGTCAGTTATCCAGGCCTCTTAATATCAGGGATAAAACCATAAAAATAGCAGATTACTGAAGACTTCCCTCTAAATCCTGAGCTCGCATCATCAAAAAGATTTGTCACAGCAGCAAAAGGAAATGTTCCTTTTCAGCAGCAAAAGAACCAAGAAACTTTTTTTCCCCCTAGGAAAAGGCCCAAGTTTGCCAAAACCCTTCTAGCTGGGTCAAAAGCACTTGAACAAGCACCTCGTAAATTTAGTCTATTAATTATTATTTATTGTTTTATTTATTTATTCCCACACACAGCCCCCCTTAAAAGGTGCTTTTTTTTTTTTTTTTTAAAGATATGGATTCTGTTGCCCAGTTACAATTCAGAATATCCACAGGCTCACAGGCCATTTGTTTATTTTGTTTTAAGACAAGTTTCCATAATAACTGGTGTTAAATTTCATACTAACAAGTTTTTGGTTTTTTTTTTGGTTTTTTTTTTTTTTTTTTTTGGTTTTTTTTTTTTGGTTGTTTTGTTTGTTTTTTGGTTTTGGTGGTTTTTTTGTTTGTTTTTTTTTGTCCATGGTAACCTCCAGCAGTTGTTCTTCAGGATTTTGTGGTGAGTCTCACAAAGACAAGAAGGGCATGGGAGGATCTGCTGGATGTCCATGACCAGAGGATCAGCCCTGACACAACCAGGGAAAGCTGCTCCATCTGGGATGCAACATTCCCTCCAGGTGCTGAGGGTTTTTTTTTTTTATAAAAAACAATAAAACAAATGCCTCACCCAAGTTTTTATTTCTGGTTCCCTGCAGAAATTCAGTCTTGGACTCACCTGTGGGTGGCAATGCCCAGGGTGGCACTTGGACCATGTCCTTGTCAGCACCCAGCTCTTCTCCCCTGGAGTGTGCAGCATTGCACAGGCAGCAATCACACTCCTAAGGACCAACTTCTCCTGTTGCAAAGCAATTTAAAAACCCCAAAAATGCAGTTATCAGGTCTGTCAAAGCTGTATTTATACATAAAATTCATTTCTAGCTCCCCCCACTCACTTTATCCCAAGGCAAGATGGGGAAGCCCATCCTGCCAGGGAAGGGAACAGAGCTGGGAAGGGGCTGCAGAATTCCTGGGGGGGCTGGGAAAGGGGCTCAGCTGGAGAAAAGGAGGCTCAGGGGGAACTTCTGGCTCTGCACAACTCCCTGACAGGAGGGGACAGCCCAGGGGATTTGGGATCTGGGAACAGGGACAGGAGGTGAGGGAACAGCTCAGGCTGGGGCAGGGGAGGCTCAGGGTGGAAATTATGGAAAATTTCTCCCCTGAAAGGGGGGTCAGGCTTTGGAGCAGGATGACAGGGGAGTGGTGGAATCCACCACCATCATCACTGGTGGCATCACCAGCGTTCAAAAGGCTGAAGGTGGCACTTGGGGACAGGGTGATGTCAATGAGCCAAACCTTTCCCAACCCGAACAAGTCCATGTTCCCAAGAGCTCTCCAGGCAGAATGCTCTGATTCCAAAAATCCTTCCCTGTCCACTCTGACCCATTGCAGCCCAGCCTCCCTGACACAGGCAGTGTCCAGCTGTGGCTGTCCCCTGCCACACGTGGGACACTTGGCAGGACACAGCAGGACAACGTCCCAGGTGAGAGAATTAATGCCCTGCACAAACCCAAGGCTTCACCTTCACTGCCACAAAGCTCTGACTGAGTGAAGTTCAGATTTTCATGAAAAAAAAAATCCGAACTTTTTATGATCAAGCTAAATTGATCGTAATTAAGATAAATTAAGATATTTTATGATTAAGATAAATTAAGATAAATTCTGCAGCAGTTATGGCAAATTCTCAAAACCTGACAAAGCAGCTGCTCCTGTGCTAAAGGAAGGAGATGATGTCAGGTCATACCCACATCCCACTGTGGCTCATCTCCCCCAGCCTGCAGCACCAAGGATTTGGCTGATGTCCAGCCTGGATTTTACTACCAGAAATGGGATCCTACCACACCAACCTTTTATCAGCTGTTTTTCTGTCAAAGCACCCCTAACCATACACATTCTTGCTGTGGCTAATCATTACCTCTGTGCCACAACCCATCTATCTGCAACTTTACAAGTGGATTTCACAAAGCACTCACAGATATCCTGAAGCCCAAACAACAACCCATTGATCTCTCTAAACAGGAACTACCTGAAATCACAGGAAACTCCCAAACCATTGCAGGTTCTGCATTTGGGCTTCACAACCTATGCAAGAGTCCAAGGGAAGGTTAAAATTTACAAAGGTGCTCAAAACAGGTCTGAGTGCTGCCCCTGTGCTCCAGCCTCCTCCAGAATAAATGGATTTTCTGTGCTCACTTTCTGTAGCTGCCACAAACAGATGGTTCTTGCACTACTGGTAAATAAAAAAAAGAGGATTTCAAACATCACCTCGGTATTCCAGGGAGATAATGGGGAAGGCTTCAAAACTCCTCCTACATTACAAGTTCCAGAATCAGGTGTCAAATTTGAAGACCCACATTTCTCTCTAACACATCTTATTTTGGGCTTATTTTATATTAATGTCTATCTGATTTACAGAGCTACATGGCAGAAAGTTTTTAGGGATAAGAGATTCCAACCCACTCAATTCCATCCTTGAAACAAGGCAGTGATATTTTTGTCAGGTACCTCTTCCCCACCCAAACACACAGAACATTTCTGCAACATTTATATTAAAGCTTCTAATTCATAACCTCTCCACTGACTGAAATTATTGATTAAAAAAAAAAAAAAAAAGAATTTACCAGCAGACAGTTTAGAAACAAAGCCCTGCTCTGCCATTCATGTTAACTATCTAAAAAAATTACTAATACCGTTTTTAATGATAGATTTTATAGCTCTACACCCTCTTAACTGTTGTCCAAAGCCACAAGTACTCTGAACACTCCAGTCCCACTATTCCTAAGTATTTTGGGTGCAAAAATGACTGAAACCTTTACTCTGAAGCTTCTTTTTTTTTTTTTTTTTTTTTTTTTTGTGCAGGCTCCATGAAAACGTAAGGGAATGTAATTCAGCTTCACTTCCAATTCCTGTCACGTGTCACACTCCATTATCTCCTGGTAGTCCCGGGAAACACAAGGGAGTATTAAACAAACAGGTAACGAGTTTTTACTGGACTTCCACTCACTCTGAAGTCAAATAATCCAAAAGTACCTCAAGGGCCTGATTTGTAGATGATGCCCTGTGCTGTAAAACAGGATTATTGGTACTAACAGAAAACTTTTTGTTCAGGAATATAAAATCCTAGCTGGAGTCACAAAATGTTTCTCCCAATGCATCCTGACCTATACAGGACAGTTTAAATTCCACTAAATCAAACTCTTCCCAAATCCAAAAATGCTGAAATTATCCATTGCTGAGTGGGGAAAACCTACACTTACTGAAGTTATAAAAACATGTGAACAAATAAAGAGAGCTTTTTTAATCAGTTGCACAAGGATCAGGACACACTAGATATTATATATATATATATGAAAGTTTGTGTCTTAATTTCATTAGACTACTCAAATTAGATAGAAAGCCACTTTTCCAACTTGACTTCCTCCTCACTTTGTGAAATTATAGTACTAATTAGGTAATTAGGTGTCCTCAGGATTATAGATTTGAGCAAAACACTGTCACAATGCCCCTTCAAATACCTGAACTGTTTCTAAAGAGAAACAGACGAGTTTTTAATGTTTTAATTACCTGGTTGTGAAGTTACTATACTTCTCAGGAGAGAGATGACAGCACGCATTCCCAGGTTTCCCACTCACTTTGGGAAAGACTTTTAAAGTCTCCTGCTAGGAGACCCTGGTGCTCAGCACCACGAGACACTAATTTGGATAAAGATGGGTTTTGTCAGGCACTTAAATCAAAGAATCACTCAGAAGCACTGAGAAATCACTGAACACTATTGGGAAAGTAACTCACCACACTTTAAACTACAACAACCTCAGCAATGTTACAGCACAGAAACCACTGTCCTGGGTGGGTGTCCAGCTGTTCAAACCACCAGCATCCCCTCCAGACAACCTGAGTTATCCTTTGAGCATCCCAAATTATCCCTCCGGACACCCTGAGCATCCCTCTGCACATTCACGAGTTATCCTTTAGGAGTTTATCCCTCTGGACATCCTGAGTTATCATTGGGGCATCCTGAGCATCCCTCTGGGCACCTCCAAGTTCTCCTTTGGGGCATCCCTCTGGACACTCTGAATTATCCTTTGGGCAGCCCCGAGCTATCCTTGGGGCATCCCGAGTTATCCCTCCGGACACCCCCGAGCTACCCTTGGGGCATCCCGAGTTATCCCTCCGGACAACCCCGAGCTACCCTTGGGGCATCCCGAGTTACCCCTCCGGACAACCCCGACTTATCCTTTGGGCGTCCCGAGTTATCCCTCCGGACAACCCCGACTTATCCTTTGGGCGTCCCGAGTTATCCCTCCGGACAACCCCGATTTATCCTTGGGGCATCCCGAGTTATCCCTCCGGACAACCCCGATTTATCCTCCGGGCACCCCGAGCATCCCTCCTGGAGGCGCACAAACCTCACCCCGCAGCCAGCCCCAACTCTCACCCAGACCCACCTGTGCTGCTGTGTGTTCCCACCGGCCATTCCCGGCTGTTTTTCCAGCCCCTGGCCGAGTCCAGCGGGGAAGGAGAGGTTGGAGCGGCCGGACCCGAGCGCGTCCCCGGCGGTGTCGCCGCTGCCCGTCCGTGCCCTGGCGGGGGATCCCCGCTCAGCCCGCGGTTGCCACACGCGCTCTGTTGCCAGGCTATGGAAAAGCGTCCCCTCCACCCCCCTGGAGCCGCGGGGCAAAGGGAAAAAAACCGCGGGAGAGCAGCGGGGAATCCTCGGGAAAGCGGCGCGTTAAGGGAACGGCCCCGCCGGGCGGAGTCCCGGACCTCGCCGGTGTCCTGTCCCCGCGGTGTCACCTCCCCGAGGTGTCACCTGCCGGCTGTGCTGGCCGCACTGCCTTCCCGAGCTCGGGAATGCTGTCCTGGCAGCAGGGATCGGGTACAGAAGGGACAGAGCCCAGCTCACATTTGGCCGCTGTCGCTGCCCAGCCAGTCCCGGCCATGGGGCTCTGATGTCACCGCAGGGCCAGGATGCGCGGGGACGCTGGGAATTGCAGTCCCGGGCTTTGGGATCACTGCTGCTCCTCTGCTGGTCCAGGGCTTGGGATCCCTTCTTCTCCTACTGGTCCAGGGCTTCAGATCCTTTCTGCTCCCTGGGTTTGGGATTCCTTCTCCTCCCGCCGTTCCCAGGCTTTGGGATCCCTTACGCTTCTCTGCTAGTCCAGGGTTTGGGATCCCTTCTTCCCCCATTGTTCCCTGCGTTTGGGATCCCTTCTCGTCCC